GTTCGAGACCCGGGTGCCGCATGATGGAGTGAGCCCCCGTCTCTAGTTCCAGCTCCTGCCAACCTAGCAGTTCGAAAGCAAGAAATTGCAAGTAGATCAATAGGTACCACTTCGGTGGGAAGGTAACAGCGTTCTGTGCGCCTTGCTGCTTAGTCATGCCGGCCACATGACCACGGAAACATCTTCGGACAGCGCTGGCTCTTCGGCTTTGAAACGGAGATGAGCACCGCAACCCTAGAGTCGGATTCGACTGGCTTTCGAGCAAGGGAAACCTTTACCTTTTACCTGAGACACCTTTGGGTAGTGAAGGGCAGGGTATAAACCCAATCTCCTCCTCCTCCTCCTCCTCTTCTTCTTTAAACTAAGATTTCCAAAGGCCGTCATCTTCTCTCTCAATTATTTCTGGAGAAGTAAGGACTGACATCGCAGTGTCGCTTGCAGTTTTTCATACCAGCGCACATATTTTGTGCTGGACACGTCAGCCTTGACGATATTTTCCTATTGTGACACCACAACATCTATAGAGCTTCTACAGTTAAATTCGAGTCCAGCAGCACCTTAAGAGACCAACAAGATTTTCCGAGTGTAAGCTTTTGAGAGTCAAAGCTCACTTTTGTCTGGTATCATCAGGTATCCGGGAAAAGGAGCCTTGGTTCTCAAAAAGTTCATACAGCCCCCCAAATCTTGTCAGTCTAGGGTTGCCAGGTCCTTACTGGCTGTCGACAGTGGGCTCCAGCCTTCTTGCTGGGATCTTCGGAAGTCACCCAGAAGTGATATCGTGTTGCCGACATCGGGTGGTGGTGGTGCCATTCTAGTCTTTGGGCAAAACTCTATGGGTTTTGCCCTTAAAACCATAGAGTTTGCCCAAAAAAACTAGAGCGGCACCCCCTGATGTCAGCAACATGATGACGTCACTTCCGGGTGACGTCATTGTGACAGTGACATTGCCCGGCAACGTTCCTGTTCAGAGGTGGGGCTTCCCCTGCCAGCCAACTGGCCATCGGCCGATTAAAGCCCCCAAAATGGGGGGAACCTCCAGCCAGACCAGGCGTTTGGCAGCCCCATGTCAGAGGGGTTACGGGACTCAAACCGGGTTCTTCTCCTGCTCTCTGGCTGCTCTCTGAAACTGTCTATGGAGGTTCTATTCATGCCTCTTTGAAAACGTGCTAGTCTGGGTACGAAACTCTGAAACGTGGGTGCCTTCTTTGTCGTTCTTTAGGACCGAAGAGGAGAAGCGAGATTGGATCCAGGTAACGGCCAGTCTTTCCCACCTGCCCCTGAACGCAGTCTTTTTACCTGCCTCTGTCTCCTGTGAAGTCTCCAGTTCTTTAACTAGCAATGCACAATGCGGGATTCCTAGACCACGCCCGCATAGATAGTTTCTGCCGGTCCAGTTGAGAAGAGAGGGTGGCCGGGAGAAAAGAGCAAGAGTCTCACAGCACCTTAGAGACTCACAAAATTTGTGGCACGGTTTGAGCTTTTGTGGGGACTGCGGTGGCTCAGAGGTTAAGACGTTGAGCTGCAGACCGGAAGGTCTGTAGTTTGGCAGTTCAAGACCCTCGTGCCGCATAACGGAGTGAGCTGCCGTCTCTGGCCCCAGCTCCTGCCAACTTAGCAGTTCAAAAGCAAGAAATTGCAAGTACATAAAGAGGTATATATAAAGATATATAAAGATAAAGATAAAGATAAAGAGGAGCTGCGGTGGCTCAAGTGGTTAAGACGCTGAACTGCAGGCTGTGGAAGGTCGGTAGTTCAGCAGTGCGAGACTCAAGTGTGCCGCATGACGGAGTGAGCGCCCGTCTCTAGTTCCAGCTCCTGCCAACCTAGCAGTTCGAAAACAAGAAATTGCAAGTAGATAAATAGGTACCGCTTCGGTGGGAAGGTAACAGCGTTTCGTGCGCCTTGGTGTTTAGTCATGCCAGCCACGTGACCACGGAAACGTCTCCGGACAGCGCTGGCTCTTCGGCTTTGAAACGGAGATGAGCACTGCAACCCTAGAGTCGGAGTCGACTGGCTTTCGAGCAAGGGAACCTTTACCTTTTTTACGAGGTATCGCTTTGGTGAAAAGGTAACAGTGTTCCGTGCGCCTTGGCGTCTAGTCATGCCGGCCGCATGACCACGGAGAAGTCTTCTGACAGCGCTGGCTCTTCAGCTTGGAAATGGCCTCTAGAGTTGGATTCGACTGGCTTTCGAGCAAGGGAAACCTTTACCTTTGAGGTTCCTTGAGTCACTCCTCACTTCTTCAGACTGCTCACGTCTTCAGACTGGGAGAGTCTGTCTTCTACCGGGAGTGATGCAGTTTGGGGTGACCTTGTGCTACATGGGCCCTTAACTGTATAGATTCTGATCTTGAAAACTAATGCACCCACTGGTAGAATATGTGTTACCAGTGGGAGCATGCACAGGGGTCATTTCGTAGAAAAAGAGGTGCAGGAGCTCATTAGCATTCCTCATTTGCATATGCCACTCCCCCTGACATCACCGGAGGTGTGTCAGAAGGCAACACCCACCGCTCAGGCTCCACTGGACTGTTTTGGATTGCTAGCTATTGGGGGGGGGGGGATGTGCAGATCTGTCCTCGCAGGGGAGGGAGGG